TTTTTAAATTCTGCGGGGGCAGTATTTATGTACTAACAAAACTCATCCACGAAACAAAGAAACATGCCAGGGAACAGTCTGTATTTTCTCCGGGGGCGGTCTTCACTTTGTAACAGCAAACCGTTATCTTTTGATGCCAAAATCCTACATCATATCCCCTTGATCCCATACCCTTGACTCCATGTCCTGTGTCTGTGCCCCTTGGCGCCACCAGGGAATGCTGGGACAGCGTCTTCTCCAGCAACAGTGCCACCGCATCAGCCGCGTCAGCGCTCTCACCCGCAGGGAAGAGATCCGCCCGGGTCAAGTACATTTGATGCAGCAATTCAAAAGGAGCCACATAATCAAAATCTCTGCTGCGTAACTTGACCAGCGTCGCTGTCATCCAGTGCCTCAGCGGACCTTTCTCACACGTCTGGTCCAAAAGATCTCTAGCCAACGGGCCGCAATGGAGAAAACATTGCAAAATTGAGTTGAGCCAACAGCTGTTCCCCAAATTTCTCAATCCACTGATGGGAGCAGCATGGTCGAAGCCGCTGGTACCCAGCGGACGGCTGCCCGAATCCAAGCGCCACTGCCGGCCCATGTCGCGCAACCAACGCGCATCGATTCTCGAAGCGAGGCTCTCTGCCAACTGATATTCAGACACTAGCAGCTCGCACGCACGCATGACACCAGCATTTTCACGCTTGCTCGCCTCGCTTCTGTATCTTTCACGCTGTCTGCGTGGCAAAGCAGGAGGGTTCAGCTGACCCAGGCAGACCTTCAAATGCTGCAATGGGAAATCGTCTGACAATCCACTCCCGTCTTCAGTCAATTGTCGCAAAACGCGATCCACTTCCTGCTGGGACACCTGCAATGCATCCGCCACACGACGGGCATCGTCCTCAGCAGCAGATTTGTCTCTTCTGGTGAGGCCATAGCGCCGGTTCTCTTTGGTTCCACACCGGACACGCCAACCAGTGCTCCGTCTTTCGACTGCAACCTGCCTGTTTTCAAACTCAGTCGTTGTCAACTTCCGCTGTGCCTCTTGCACCGCTTCCAGTGACACAGCTGATGCTGTATCCAACTTTCGCTGATCCGCTTCGGCCACATGCGCGCTTTGGCGCACCGGGCCGCAAAACCATTGACCAGCATGCTTCTTACGAGCACGCCAACCACCACCATGGCTTTGCACAGGCATGGTTAGCTACAGCAAATTCAGTGTTATAATATTGCTTTCTTGCCAAAACATGGCTTCTTTTTAATTGTTTCCCGACGTTGAATGTCTTGAAACTATTTTCCTTGTTTCCGTACGTGGATAGCTGTGAGATACAACTTTGAATTGTTTTGAAACCTTCCAAGCACAATCGGCAAGTAGCTTCGAGTACCGGAAAATTTCCAAAATTGTTCCGCGGAACAGCTGCTGTGACAACCTTTCTTACTTGTTTCCGTCCTTTAATATGTTAATCATATATGTTCGCCTCAAGGTGTGAAATGAAATATGTGTGCCTAAACTATACATGCGAAAAAACTTCCGCTTGCCGTCTCAAGCCGAAAACACAAAGGCAATAAGTAATAAGGCTGCAACCAAAACATATCTAAACATGACAACAAGCGAAGCAACACTGTCGAATCGAACTGTCCAATAAATACAATATGCAAAGAGACACACCGAAGCAATTCCAATGCCTCATCATGTCAACCGCAGGGCTCGGCAGGTGCGCAGGGTTCTAATCTGTGCACGTCAAACATGTTGCAAACAGGCCAAGCTACACCGAGCAGTCTGACACACGTCAAACAGGCCGGTATATCAAACATGCCAGGCCGACGTCAAAACATGCCAGGGAGACGGCAAAGCTGAAACTGACTGGAGCAGTCTGACGCACGTCAAACAGGCCGCCTGAAGGCCACAAACCGGTCAGCGCAGGACATCCAATCCGATTCGAGAAGACGAGTCAAAGCGGAGACATCTGCTACACCGGAAGTTGCACGGACATGCACACGAGAGCAACCGATTGAAGATCTCGGAAGCACCGGCAGAGTGAATGAGAGTAGCAGATTATCCGTGGCAAAGCTGAAACTGAATGGCGTACGCAATGTATATCAAACATGCCAGGCCGACGTCAAAACATGCCAGGGAGACGGCACAGCTGAAACTGAATGGAGTGAAACAAGTATGTCAATCTATCTATCTCTCTATCTATCTATCTATCTATTTTATCTATCTATGTAACATCTATGTAACAATCTATCTATCTATCTATTCTGTGCACGTCGAACATGTTGCAAACAGGCCAAGCTACACCGAGCAGTCTGACACACGTCAAACAGGCCGGTATATCAAACATGCCAGGCCGACGTCAAAACATGCCAGGGAGACGGCAAAGCTGAAACTGAATGGAGTGAACCAAGTATGTCAATCTATCTATATATCTATCTATCTATCTATCTATCTTATCTATCTTATCTATTTATCTATCTATGTAACATCTATGTAACAATCTATCTATCTATTCTGTGCACGTCGAACATGTTGCAAACAGGCCAAGCTACACCGAGCAGTCTGACACACGTCAAACAGGCCGGTATATCAAACATGCCAGGCCGACGTCAAAACATGCCAGGGAGACGGCAAAACTGAAACTGAATGGAGTGAACCAAGTATGTCAATCTATCTATCTCTCTATCTATCTATCTATCTATCTATCTATCTATTTTTCTATCTATGTAACATCTATGTAACAATCTATCTATCTATTCTGTGCACGTCGAACATGTTGCAAACAGGCCAAGCTACACCGAGCAGTCTGACACACGTCAAACAGGCCGGTATATCAAACATGCCAGGCCGACGTCAAAACATGCCAGGGAGACGGCAAAGCTGAAACTGAATGGAGTGAACCAAGTATGTCAATCTATCTATGTCTCTATCTGTCTATCTATCTATTTATCTATCTATGTAACATCTATGTAACAATCTATTTATCTATCTACCTATCTATCTGTCTATGCATCCATCCATGCATCCATCCATCTATGTCTCTATCTCTCCATCCATCCATCTATCTATGTCTCTCTCCCTATCTCGCTCTCTCTCTCTCCCTATCTCTCTATCCATCTATCTATCTATCAATCCATCTATCTATCTATCGATCGATCGATCTATCTGTCTATCTATCCGTGCATCCATCCATCAATCAATCCATCTATCTATTTCTCTCTCTCTCTCTCTATCTCTCTATCTATTATCTATCAGACCTGTCTATCTATCTATCTATCTGTCTATCTGTCCTTACATCAGGATATCTATCTATCTACCAATCAATCTATCTATCTATTCATCGATCGATCTCTCTGGCTATCTATCCATCTATCTATCGATCTATCTAGCAATCTATCTGTTCAATCTATCCATCAACAATCCATCCATCCTGCATGAGTGAGTGAGTGAGTGAGTGAGTGAGTGAGTTGACGTGAGTTGGAGGTGAGCGAGTGGTGAGTGAGCGAGAGTGAGTGAGTGAGTGAGTGAGTCCGACCCCTTGGTAGTGCACATGGTCCCACGCCTGCCACGCAAAAGAGGCGGAGACCAAGGGACGCCAGGGCGTACCCGATTGGCAGTGCACATTGTCCCACGCCTGCCACACAAAAGAGTGCGGAGACCAAGGGACGCTGGATACCCCAAGGGACGCCAGAGCGTACCCGATGGCGGCACATTGTCCCACGCCTGCCACGCAAAAGAAGCGGAGCCCCAAGGGACGCCAGGGCGTACATCCGACCCCTTGGCAGTGCACATTGTGCCACGCCTGCCACGCAAAAGGGGCGGAGACCCAAGGGACGCCAGGGCGTACATCCGACCCCTTGGCAGTGCACATTATGCCACGCCTGCCGCGCAAAAGAGGCGGAGACCCGAGGGACGCCAGGCGTACATCCGACCCCTTAGCAGTGCACATTGTCCCACGCCTGCCACGCAAAAGCGGCGGAGACCTAAGGGACGCCAGGGCGTACATCCGACCCCTTGGCAGTGCACATTGTGCCACGCCTGCCACGCAAAAGAGGCGGAGACCCAAGGGACGCCAGGGCGTACATCCGACCCCTTGGCAGTGCACATTGTCCCACGCCTGCCACGCCAAAGCGGCGGAGCCCCAAGGGACGCCAGGGCGTACATCCGACCCCTTGGCAGTGCACATTGTCCCACGCCTGCCACGCCAAAGAGGCGGGACCAAGGGACGCCAGGGCGTACATCCGACCCCTTGGCGGTGCACATTGTCCCACGCCTGCCACGCAAAAGACGCGGAGACCAAGGGACGCCAGGGCGTACATCCGACCCCTTGGCAGTGCACATTGCCCCACGCCTGCCACGCAAAAGACGTGGAGACCA